TGGTTTATGAACGTTAGTAGTGCTATAAATTCTGCTAGGATTATTAGTTTTTAGGCATTAAAACATTTAGACTCACGTAGAGATGGCCTTAGTCGGCTGTAGATTTTCTAATTTTATTCATGACAGTGTCTATAGGTTTCTTGATCTCTTCATATGGTTCTGTTTAGGTATGTTCGTCAATTTCATTGAGATAACCTCAAATTAAAACAAGCGTTCAACCATCATAGCTCATTGGGTCATTGTGATATGGAAGCTCGACTACCACGTTAAGGTAGCAGCTGTCTGTCGGGAGAGATGGAAGAGGGAGCGGTGATATACAACGATGGACAACTATTTAGACTTATCAACGAAAAAAATGTCAGCGGTTAGGGTATTATGGCGGAGAAGGATGGGTATGTGGTGTACTCGCATGATGAGATGACGATCGGAACACTTGCAGGAACAGCTCAATCAGCCTCCAACTACTACTTTGTTATGTGTCATCGATCCGGTAGTGAAGAGGTCGACAAAATGTGAAATTTGGAAGAGCTAGATGAGCTAGTTTTTACAGATATTGAAGGACATTGGCAAAGGATTCTTGTTCAAGGTAAGCGAAGTGTTAATCAGCGTATAGGAACTAAGCACGATCCCCTTTGACTCGTCTCAATCTCTGATTGCTCAAATCTTCAAGAAAGGAGAGAAATTCTCCTACGACATAGGAATCAGTGTCTAAGATTTTTGGTTCCATTATAATAATCCGCCTAAATGGAGCGGGAAAACAGGAATTTGGAGAAAACCAGGTAGGCTTCAGACCTGGTTGTGACTCCATTGACCAGGTATTCATTCTCAATTAGGCTCTGGAAAACAGGCAAACTCACCGACTCCTCATACTGGCAGAATTTCTCGGAATTTAGCTCAGTTGACCAAGAGGCTAGATGATAACATACGTCACCAAGAAGGGTGTGGAGTAAGTAGACCACTCTGATGAAAGCGCTATGTTCGAACACAATTAGCATGTTAGAGTCTGTGGTGAGGTGTCAAGGATGTCTGCATTTCACATCTTATTCACCTTTACCATAGTCAAACTTTTGGATGCTGCTCCCTCCTCGTTTGCATTTGCAGCTACTTAAATCTTCATAGAACTATTATCAGACCTAGATTACGTAGGTAATATATTCCTGTTATGCGACGACAGTGAGTCTTCTACACATCTTCAGTGGCAACTTGAGTGTTTGGGATGCATTTCTCATCAGCTAAATGCAAATTTTCGCCCCGGAACTGGTCTTTGCTGGCACCTTGGCTGAGAATGAGAAGTGAAATGGTTGAGCGCGTTGGCCATTTGACTAATTTGGGAAGTAGAGTCAACCCCGATAGGTAAGTGACCGACGAGATCCTCGCAGGATACAAAAGGCCCGACTGGCTTCCGCTAACTCACGTCATCTATGGCGCCGTGATATCTGATCGCCTATTGAGAATCTGTTCTATTATACAGCTGTAAAATATGGCACCAAAGATACAAGGCATGAAAAGGATTCGGGTGATCGACCACCATTATCTCCGTAGTATAAGCCGTGTATCGTGGTGTCACCATGTCAGTAATGTAGAAGTCAAGTGCTGAGTTCTGAACAGAAGAAAGTCAGTCTAGGTTGTGGGCTTTCATCGACTAAGATGGCTGGCACATCTAGTCACCACCTCTCCCGCTGCGAAACGTTATCTGAAGTAGGTTCAGGTCGTAAAAAGGTTAAGGGGAGACCGCCAAGAACATCTCATCAGTCCGTGAAGACTTTGACCGTTAGTCTGGGCCATATAGGGAAATGTAGTCTTTCTGGTTGGGATCAGAGTAAAATTCGAAGTGGGCATCTCGAGATTTTATGTGATATGGCTGAGAATGACAGAGACAAAATTGAGTTAAGACCTAGCACACAAGTGTATCGGTTCAATTTGCCACACTTTACAATAGTACACAAAGAATAGGTGGATAGAAAAAGAGTGATATCAAGTAGACAAAGTTGTGTGAGACAATAAGTAATCTGAAGATGAGGATTAGTGCAAATATTCAAGTATTAGAAGATATCAAGGAGTGATGCACCTGCACCATTGTGACCGATTTTCAGCCATGTCACCAAAGCCCTCACAACCAATGATTTCTATAGTTTTCGGCAACACCAGAGAGGTAGTCTACATCTCCCTACACAGCTCAGACCTTAGAAATCCTTTAATACACACTCACTTTTGCCCTATTCACCATCACTATCACCAAATAGAGTGCAAAATAAGCTTTACTACCATCATCCTCTTTTGGCTTATCGCTAGGTCGGGCAAACAAAAAGTGCATCTCAAATCAACTTCGTACAATGTTTCATTGTTCGATTCCGAATCGTTAAGAGTTGATCTAACTTCAGATGGGATCACAATTCATTATGGAAACGAAAGGTGTATGAGGTTGCTAGTTCTTTTTATCGATCTTGCAGCTTCACAGTGTCAGATTGAGTCAATTGAACTTAGCAACATTTATAGACTATGTTTCTTATTGAAGAATAGGTAGCGTAAACCCAGTTACCACCTACCATTTTTTTCTCTAGTGAAAAACACTTCAGATACACGTCAGTGATAGAAATTCTACTGGTGGCCGGATACTATTAGTGATCTTATGGCAAGTGAGGGTTAGTTTCAATGCTGGTCATACTTAAGAAGGATAATATCACTACATTTTCAAGATAAAGCAACCATAGTTAAATAAGAAAAATTACTGACATCTCTCGCTAATAAAATACAGTAACGGAAATGAATTGAAAGGCGAAAGAAAGGAGAAAACCTTACACAATAGTTTAACCGACGATTAACATATCGCGTAAGACAGAAGAGGACAATACGTGAAGTTGAAGTTGAATTAGCTATCGTAAAATAAAACTGGCCAAAACGAATGTGAAACCTGCCAATCAGAACACAGCTGCCAGAGCAGCCAATCACTATCAAAGTCACTTAATCTGTGGAACGATTGAAATATTGTATCTTGCAGAAGGTATGGTCACATTAACACAGATTACTGTTGGCTAATCATCCGCCATATATACACTTACACTTGAAAGGTGAAGAAACTATTGCTTGTAAAAGAAACTGTTTTGTTTTCTTTGCAAAATTAATTGATTTCGCAAGGTAGCAGTTCATGATACTACTACTAATATTAATAAAAAACGCAAAAATTAATAGATTGCCAACATGATTACAGAGTATAGACAGAGACTGGAATAAGTAATAGGAATTATAGAATGAACTTTCGACAATAGCAGTAAGTTTTGAATGTGTTTTTAAGATTGTTGCGTAGGTGCCACACAACATATTGTAAATTGTTTCTCTGAGTAGTGAGGTAACAGATATTTATCAAAAACAATACTAAAATAAGTAGTTATCAAGCTATGAAACATTTACTATGAGGTAAGTTGAGAAGTATTATCACACTACGCAAAAAAAAGGCACATTGACTAACCCTTTATGCATTTGAACAAAGTAAAAATGATAATTAGAATAGGCCGAAACGAATTTACTTAATATCAGCGTTATCCTTCTTAACTGCTTGTAACCCAGAATATCAAAGTATGCAGTTTCATTGAAAATTTAACATTCTGTAATTTCAAGGTGGTATTAATCACGGACTGATATCAGTTATAGAACCCCTGAAAACCTGGGGGGACTGGATAGCTGTCTTTTCTTAACATTGGACTCCTCAGCAGTGAGAATGCACGACTTTACCAAGCATAGAACAGCTGTCAAGTGCTCCCAAGTTATCAATTCTTCTTTGACTGATGTCAGTCAGTGATGAATATCATCTGAAAATCGTTCAATCCCTAAAAACCTCGAAAGTGAAATACTTTAGTTCACTGGTAGAAAGCAAAATATCATTCGGTAGTTAAGACAGACAGAAATAACCATAGCGGACTGGTTAATCATAACAGCAATTCAAGAAAGGTTAGTAAACAGTAAAAAATTGATACAACTGTATATAAAAAGAAGTTATAGCTTATTGGTTTAGATAATTGACTTTCAACCAATAAGTCAGGGGTTCAAACACCGTCTACCGAGGTTTGGGCAGCCAGGTAATATCACTAGCTCTGGTACATTAGGTGGGGTCATTGCCTACTGGGCGATTGTGCACAACTTTGCTGAATGCATCCCTCTTTCTCGGTTGCCAAAGTAGTTTTTTTTATCAAATAAGAAAACGCAATTGACCATTTACTAGAAAAGAACTGCTAGCAAAAAGGTTGCAAACACTTCGTTTCACATTCATTTAAGTGGATAACTTAAAAGTTTTAGAAAGTATAGGCAAGTACGGTTACATTCAAATAGTGAGGCATACAATCAACAATCATGTGACAGCAGTCACGTGTTATATTAAGTTAACAGTTTCAATCACGTGATTAAGCATTATCACTTTATTTGTTGCGATAATATCATTTAGAGTCTTCATCTAGAATAATGAGTAACCTAGGCCTTTTCGCATGACAGTATACCGCGGCAATATCCGCAAAAGTTGTGCTGCCCTTCAAGTGAACAATCAGAAGTGAGAAGTATGTACACACTGATGACATTCAAAGGGGAAAAGCTTACAAATTCTTGTTTCTTCTTACCAAAGTTTAAAATAATAAGGATATTTCAATGAGGATTGCATTAGTGAAGCAAAAATAATATGAGCATGACTTGGATCTTAGACATAAGAGCCGCGGAGAGTGAATGCACTGAACTACACGTTCATGAATTTTTCCACTTTAGATAAATGAAAAAAGCCTGCAGAAACTTTGTCAATGATGAGAACTAGTTTGACACTCAAATTCCCTGTAACCTTAATCAAATATACTCAAAGATAAAATAAGCGTTATTGACAGAGTAGCATTATAAGTGCGCTTCAGGTAAGTCCGGAAGTCGCTCAACGTTCAAGAACGATGAAATATTGTGCCTATACTGTTACAATACATATATGTTATTAAAAAAAATGATAAAATATAGATACACAGGTAAAAACCTACCTGATCATCTTTAGTTAAATCAGCCAGTGAACGCATATCAGAATCGGTAGCTCTTTTCTGGCGTGCCTCTCTACCCACTGTTGAATGATGAAACAGACCAGAGCCCGTTGCTGCAACAGCGGTCCCCGCTGCAACAGCCTGCCCATAAAGAACAGGCGCTAGAGCTGCTGGTGGTGTAGCACAACGTTTTAATGGAGTTACTGTTCTTGATTGATTTGAAGTTGTGTTAGCAGTATTATCTAAAGTCTCATCATCGAAAACTTTATTGGCTGATAAACGTAAACGTGATACCATACGTGATATGTTAGATATCTGTAATTAGCAGTGAAATTTTGAAAAGATAACGCCATTAGACATTAAACTGGGGTAGTTTCACATACACATGTTTATACATACACGGGGATAAAGAGATTATGAATAAAGGCCAAACAGAAAGTTGCGTATGAGCTGAACAAATTCGTTCAGTACGGTCTACCTCAATCTATCTATTATTAGAGAACGTGGTTGCAAGGGAAACTAGTACCATGGTGAGAATGACTCATTTATTTAGTTCGCCTCTTGAAAGCTGGATCAATAGCTACTGATAAACTCCTGCCTAGAACGATTGATATGATCATTCGGTATTTATACTGGGTGATGATTAAAGGTGAGAGAAAAACTTGGGTGGGCCATAGCACGATTGGAAGCATCGACCACCAAGTTTCCAGTCCAGGGCTCTACCAACTAAGCTACGAAACCCAACTCCTGACCAGATTCGTATTTCACTTCAACCATCAAGGGTTTTGCTTACTGCCACAAGAAGTCCTCATTAGGCAGCCAGTGTAAGTACTACCAAATGATAGTAGTGCGACACGAATTAATATGGCAGTCGGGCAAAGTGAAGTAGAAAACTGCTCAGCAGTCGGGTCTCGTAGTTCAGTCGGTACAGCACCTGGGCGGAAACCTGGTTACCACTGCTATAAATCCTGCAATGGCCCAAATTTTCATTTCGCCTTCAATCATCACCCAGTATCAATACAAGTCTATCAAACTACGGCTATCTCAGATAGTCGAACTGGCATTCAGTATTTGTCATTGTCAAAGTTTCTCCTCTGGTTATCTCAAATGTAACTCTTTTGCTATCCACTTCTTTGTATGCTGATGTGAATTGACGCACTACTGTGCCAAGTTCGATGCTGATTTATATCTGTTCATTTAGTTATTAGACCATTTCAATCTAGTCAGTAAATGCCATTCTATGGTCAGAAATGATTTCTAACAACTTCAATCAATCAACAGTATGTATCGTGTAGTTATTCATCCGCTTTTGTATTACTCAAATAGGCTGAGTAGCATGACAAACCACCATCAGGCTTTACTTTCCTCTCAAACTCTTGCTAGTCATGTTCGAACAGTGGGAATGGATGTATTTTCTTTTCCGGAGACTACTGGAGATGTTGATCATTGGCCTAGGAAGTCTAAATCCAAACAACGCGTCCCGGGTTATAGTGATGTCTCACCTACTTCGGCCCCGTCAACAGATTAGTGTTGTAACCCCTCACACAGCAAATCTGACTCATAACCTAGTACAGATATATATATAATCAGAAAGAAATTGGAACAGGCACGTGTCCTGCTTTATGTTTAATGAATGAAACTTTAAAAGCAGTTGGATGTCTATAATACCACTGAAAAGCAAGACAGGGTTTCATTAATCTGAAATCAGTGTAGAGATCTACTGCACTGAACTCCACTCCACTGGACTCAGCGTAAAACGTGAACAAGATCCGGATTTTCAACACTAATTCAGTCAAGTCAGGCAGTGCTTCTATGTGATGGTTCAGAGACTTGGCGCATTACGAAAAGCATTACCAACAAACTACAGATATACATCGCATGAGCAGCTGCCAACCACACTCACTCGATATTCACACTGAAGATGATCAGACGGCCAGAATAATAAGAATAAGTAACAAGGAACTCACTCTGGCCTGCCAACCAACCAACAATCCATCGCCCAACAAATATGCAGAAGATGAAAGTGAAGATGGATTGGACTGGACATACACTAAGAGGACCATTTGGGACATCACACGCCAGACCAAGTCCTCGAGTGGAACGTGCATGGGAAACGACGAGTTGGGTGTCTCAGCTGAGGGTGACATGGATGAGATGGTGTGAGGAAGAAATGAGAGGTGGTGGGCAGTGGTGGAGTCAGGTTAGGAGGGCTGGAGAGAAGAGAGTGAAATGGGGAGGTGCTACTGAAGCCCTATGTCTGACTGGGAACCCAAGTGATAAATAATAAATAATAATAATACCACTGAAAGATATAAAAAAGTTTATTGAACTCACTAAAAATGACCATGAACTCAGAAGATAGATCTTATTCCACGATAATATTAGAATGCTGAAACGACTTTGATTACCACGAGCACGAGAATCCTTTAAAGAAAAATTATAACTGAACACATGACCATTTGTTTCATCACCGAAATAGAATGCTCCAACTTGACCTGGACAAACCTATACACATAAAATAACAACAACAAAAAACAGTAACAGCTTCATTGAATGCTTACAGAGCAGAGTTAGAAAGTATCGATAAAAGTACAGCTTCAAAGAAACATCTGTACGATTAATGCAATAGACAAGAACTTCTGATACTAAACGATAGTAAACTATGGTTTCACAACACAACTCTTTCTTGCATAACGAATTCATGACTTATCGACAAGCAAATAGGCAGCTACTGCGCACACGACGGTGATCTTCTTTGACCTTTGCCAGATCCTAGGGTTTTTTGAAGTAAAACAACAGTAAACATGTACAGGATAAAACAAGCTCATTTTAGGTGACATCCTGTGACGGAATATACGGTAACTGAGAGTGCATAACACATGTACAGCTACATGAGTTGATCAAGGTTCATGACCTCACCAAGTGACTTTCCTCTTTACTCTAGAACTTAACACCTAACTTCTACGTTACTGAGGTGATGATACCACGACACAGCCTATACCAAGAAAGCAACGGTAGATGAACACCCTACGCTTTCGAATGTCCTTTACCATATTTCATAGAAATAAAGTGCAGTACGCTCGACCATTAATAGGCAGTCAGATATGTCGTCGATGCCATAGATGACGTACGTCGGCAGGCAGACAGACAACCAACGCAGAACCCCGCGCACAGGTGTGTCGGCTCAAGTTACCACACATCATAGTAGTAGACAAAAAAGAGGTGGATCGAAGAGTGATAATAAAGTAGACAAAGGTATATAGGAGAAGATATAACTAAAAAATGAAGCTTAGTAAAAACATTCAAGCTCTAAAAGACGTAGAGTGTACACATAAGTGCTATTGTGACCGATTTTTAGCCATGTCACCAAGGATCCTCAAACACTGGTTACTATCCTTTTAAGTATATCAACCAGGCAATCTAAACCTTTCCATACGGTCAAAACTAAGGTCAGAGACTTCATGCACTGGCATCACGTTTTGGTCTGAACACACAGAGCATTTCTCCAACCTATCCTATCACTACACGTCGAAGTAAGTGGTGGCTCAGCATGTATAACACATATCCAAGCCACCACAGTCGATTTAGGTTCATAAGCTTGTCTACTACCCATCACCTACCCTAAATATTGTTCATATGGTGATTCCACCATGTGCAAGCAATGCTACCAAGACATATGCAGTCAAACACCTGGAACCGCTTTACATCTTCTACTTTCAATTCCACGCCTCACCGTCGTATAACAAGACAGAATAAACTGCAGCGCAGTATTCCGATCCTTCGATATGTAAGGTAGTCGGATATTCTGTCAGTCAGCGTCAGAGATGATACACGTTGGCAAGTGACATACAGACACTCTGTATCCGACCTCACATTTCGTCAGCAACCAGCATGTTCCGACGGACGCAACTCCCAAGTAGGTCAAGTGTGGTCAACGCGTTCTACCACACCACTCTCCGTCCCTAAACTGGGAGCAGTTACAGCTCCACCTCACATCTGGTAGGTAGGTGCGAAACGCATGCTAAACATACTCAGATTTCTGCTAAAGACATTCACAAGACCCTGCATTTTCTCAGCGCCTTCACCTAACATAACAATGTCGTCTGTTTGCTCCAAGTCAAACACATGCCCTCCAACGAGCGGAAACGTCCCTGCTAAGCCACACGTACCTTAGGTTATGTTAATTAGCCAGAAGTCGGACAGAGGCGGCGATAGTGGGCATCCTGGTCAGACACCACCAGTTGTCATCAATTTGCATGACAACTCACCGTAATCCCTAACATGGCTGTGAGTCCCATAAGTGCAGATCTCTAATTCGCGTTACATGCCTGCTCCGTATTTCCTTCACAGTCATACACCACGACAACACCCCGCGGTACACACAGTTGAATGCCACCCTCACGTCAACAAATATGGCAAGTGTCGGCCGACGGTACGTATGCCTGTGTTCCAGAACCTGTAGGAGAGTGGAAATCTCAAAGATGCACCTTCATTTAGGTCTGAAACCTGCCTGGTTTCCTCGAATTTGTTGTTCTTTAGCTCCCATTAGGCGTTGGATGACTATGAACCCCAGGATCTTGGACATGATATTAGTCAAACCAATTTCCCTATGGCTGTCAAATTTCTCCCCCTGTTTATAGACTGGGATGGAGTAGGGCAGTCTGACTGCACCACCTATGATTCACATACACTACCTAGTACTTCCGTCACCCTAATTAGTAACTTCCTACCTTCACCCTTGAAAACTTCACGTGGCAAACTGGCCGGTTTCGGTGCATTGCATAGTTTTAGGTCCGATACAGGTTTCTCAGCTTCAAGGAGAGTCGGAGGACCGACGTCCACGTGCCATTCAGGTTCAGGCTGTATGATGGGTAACTGAAGAGTTGCTGAGGGCCAGTAGAACTGTGCCCCATCGTGTTCTGTCTAACGTCCTAGTCACATGGGATTGCTATATTCCCTAAAATTCTGGAGACTGTTCGTGCGAGGCATATAGGAAAGCGGGAACTAACTGGCTGAAGTCCCTGAGACGATAGGAATCACAGGTTGGTAAGACTTGATGAAATGGCTGCAAGTCAGTCACACTGGTGCAGAGGCATTCACTTATTAGTGTTTTATAAAGTTTGAATGTTTTGACTAACCTTCATCTTCACCCTCCCATATACCTTTATTTACTGTGATATTAGTCTTTACCATCTACTTTTATTTATATACTATTATGGAGTTTTATAACTTGAACAGATGTACTTGCGTCAAAGGTTTTGCTGTGATTCTTTGTCTCTTTCTGTGTGAAACACCCAAGAGCATTACGGCCTATTATGAAGTGCCAGGTGAGTTGCGTAATTCGAACTGCATCCATCAAGGATATTCACTCTCTACATTCTCATTACATTTGTCATATACAACTTGATGGAGATCTCTCACTCCCCGTCTGACTTTACATGCATTGATCTTGTCACAGGAGAATCCTTAGGACATCTACAATACACACTTCACATAGTCGTGATACGTGAAGACACTGACAAGATGCACAGTCAGTCTACTCCACGCCTTGAGTGGAAACCTCAAAATGTCTGGCATACATACACGATGGCCATCCGAATCCAAGTCGTTGCTCCGACACTGGTGGTCATTAGTGTTTCCTTGTCTAACAATGGAGAGTGAAGTGGTTAAGCACAGTGACCACTCTGTTTAACTAGGAACTAAGCGGCTTACGAAATCTCAGCACGCATATACGACGCTTGTTTAGCCTTCGCCAACTTATTCTATTTGTGGCACCCACATGAGTTTTGATTACTTGTTAAGGGCTACGTGTACTCCACTGAAGTTTGCTATTGTATGTAAAAGGAGTGAGAAGGTTTCAGGAGTTCCATCAATGTCGCTTTCGTGGCATAGGTGGTGGTGGTGGTGGTGGTATCACCGCATCAGTAACGTAGACGTCTGGTATAGTTTCACAGAGAAGAGGAAAGTCAGCTGATGAGTTTGTGAACCTTCATTGACTGAGGTGTTTGTTACATGTGATAAGTATGCCTAATCACAATCTGCTTCGTCGTACAATGTTAGCCGAAGTATGTTCAGGCCGGAGAAATGTTAGAGGTGGAAAACTGAAACATGGTAGCTCATTTGAATCGTGTAGAGAAATTCAAACTTCCAGGTTGAAGTTTGAGTGATAACAGAAACAGGTGGTCGGAAACATTAGGTTAAATGGCTGAGAATTGCTGTTAATCCTCATACTGAATTTCAACAAAGTTTCATTTCTCCTTGATCTCTTTTGACGACTTTTTATTTCTTCATCTTTCAACTTAACACATTTTTGCTTGACGTGCTGATCTGAGGTGTTGCAAATTGGACCAAGACGCAGTGATGCTAGACGCAATGTTGATTTTGTCTCTCTTAACATCATACAACAGACCTCTAAGGTGCGGTAGAACCCCACGGAACAAATATTGCAGCCACAGCAGCTAGTTGGATTATCGCATTTTATAAGCCAGATCACCACGTCAAATTAGCGTATCACAGTTCATCTTTAGTGATCATATATGGTGGGATCACCATGTGAGCAGTGTTGAAATTGGGCAAAGGGTACTACACAACACAAGGAAGTCGGTAATGTGAACTTGTGAACCTTGGCTAACTGGGGTGGCTGTTGTGCATGTCAAGCCACCACCTACCTCGAAATGCAATGTTAGCCAAGTAGTGTTGGGTCGCAAGAATGCTCAGACCAAGATATGGCACCAGTCGATGAAATCTATGACTTTTGGTATAAGTCGACTATGCATGTATATAGACAACCTGCTTGGAGTCCTGAAGACAATAGGCATCAATAGTTAGATAGTTTTGGTGACAAGTTTGAAAATCGGTAATATTAAGGCACATCTCTCCTTAACTTTGAACACTTTGAGTGACCTTCATTTTTTAAATTCTCACTTCGTCCATACACTTCTCTCGACTTAAACACCACTTTTTCTTTGCATGAAACGTGGGAACTTGAACCAACAGACTTCTATGAGAAGTTCTATGTCGATTTAAATATCTATCTGCTTTTAAGGATCTCAAAAAAGCTGATTCACATGTCTTGATACCGCTCTGTTTATTATTTGCATTTTATCAGTGTGCGTATTACATGACAATTTTGTAAGATGTCAAGGTAATCATCAATTGATACTGCAAGCTCATGTGTAAACACGCTTTGTATTCATAGAAGATAAAGACAAGACATGCATAGTTTGAAGATAAACATTATTGAATGATGTCACATATTTTGCAGGCGATCTACTATCATTTAATATAGTCATGTGAATGAATGTGTAGTCGCTGTAAGTAACTGACCAATTTTTAACCATCATCATTATTATTACTTGTAGAACAGTGGAACCTAGTAATCACGTGCATAGATGCGTGTATCGGATCATAAGTTGGCGAAACATTGTGATCTGTAGCTTATTAGCTTAGGCTGTTGACTTTCAACCAGTGAGTTATGGATTCAAAGCCTATTCCACCTCTTGAGGTTCAGGAAGCCAAGTAATACTGTATACTCCCACATAGTAAATGTAACAGATTGCCAATTTCATAAACCCTACTGTCAACAATCATATTGATGTTTACGGTAGATGAAGTAGAATTTGAATTTATTCTAATTTCGAAAATCGAAATTCACTCAACAACTTTGTGTACAGTCATGCAGTAGGCAATGAGACAAACCGTCTGTATACTACTACGTAGTTGCTCAAACCTTAGTGGGTGGATCAATGTTCAATCCCTTAAACTGTCAGTTGGAAAATCAAGCGCTTAAGCCAATGTGCCACAGCTCCACTTATTCTAATCTAATGAGCTACAAATGTAATCTATTTTTGAGATGAATAGGGCTTTTTAATTTAGAAGTAGTATTCATCATAGACTGACATCAGTTGGGGAACCGCTGGAAATCCAGGAGCACTGGACAGCTGTATCTTCCTAGTATGGGACTCCTCAGCAGTACGCACCCACGACCCGGCTAGGGATCGAACTCAGGACTTTTAGGGTTCACGGCGAACGTGTTAACCATTCATTCAACCACTGGGTCGGTTTCCAGTGGTTCATAATTTCCAACTTCTGTCGATTCACGACATAGTGCGACTGTCACCGAAGGTCTTCAACTAGCATCCACTTCACATCCGACTGGTTGATCCCACAGGTCACGGCTTCCTCATTAGAGCTTCCCCAACTGATGTCAGTCCATGATGAACACTACTTCTATACAAATGTAACCATTACTCATAACATAAAAAAGCATAAATGGGAATATTGCTCAAGGTTGCATATTGTTGGCAAATTGGTAAATTCATTTTTAACAAATAACTAAACGAAAACATTAAAAATGCTGTCTTTGTCACTGAACATATAGGTAATACAAATGTAATGAAAAACTAAAATAAACCGAGTTATTCACGTACATGAAATAAATAGTCATTGTTTTTGTATATAAACTATCGATTAGACTAAGCAAACTGATTGAAAGTTTGTAGTGCATTCATCTAGGCTTTCAAATGATAACCATTAGGTCATTAGTTCAAAGGGTATTTCATGCACTTAGATCTGGTAGCCTTCACATATCAGATATGAATCACAGTCTAGTCTACAAACTTTCAATAGACAAATATGTTGCACTACAATTGGTATAATTGAAGTTATCATATGATATGATATAATCATACAGAAAAAAAGTATCAGCTAAAAACTGGCGCAATTCTCAATACAACAGAAATATTTTACTTTCAAAAGAAAAAGTAGTATACAATCTTACGAGTTGTTTACTGTGATATCAACCAGACAAATTGTGTAAGTCAGTTTATGGCACTATTTGGCTGTCCAAACCTGTAACCCAGTCGATCATGTAAACGAAGCAGTCACAGCTTCTCCACTTTACTCATAAGTAGAAAGTCATACGTTTTGCAGATAAAACTTAAAAGGTTAATAAAAGATATCCAATCAACTATATTGAGAAAAAATTAACCTATATAATAAGCTGAATGAAATCAAGGAATAGGATGATTAAATGACCATGTGATCACTAGCATAAACCCCATGTTTAGTTTCAGACATGAACTCCTCAAGAAACATCTATTTTTAAAAAAAAACTAAGTGCTTAGTGATCTTTGATTCGCAGTGATTTTAGTCAATATCAACTCTATACATTGCACTTTTGCTTGACTATGAAATGAACATCCATCGTTTGTTACACTAAAAGTTATTTTAAGATGTACCTTCATCCTATAAACTTTTACTCAATGATTTTGACATCTTAGTTACTTCTATTGCTTTTTTTTCTTGTTTTTTTCTCTTAGTTATTGTTTAACGCCCTATTTGTCTCTCCTTAAGACTTTCCATAGATTTTAATAACGTTTTCTTTTATTTCTATCTATCTTTCATCTTGATGTCTTATACTTTGATACGCTGATATGGGGTGTGATAACACGATGTCCCGTGTTGATCGTGATTTAAGAAGTGATGATAAAGATTTCTAACTTAAGATGGGGATGACAGTGATTCGGTGGTCTCTGAGCTTTGACATTATAACTAACTTCCTTATGAAGTCAATGCAGAAAATATCAGCAAGCCTGGTAATAAAAACAGTCAACAACACAATGATTTAGAATCCGTTTATACGTCGCTCGCCAGAACTCTGGAATCTCGATCCATGGATGTATTCTGTCTCTAGGACACGTAGACAGGACTTCCGTGTGGTTGTTAAACAAACCTCACTCGGCCATAGTAGTGAGTCTTCCAAATTTACCTTAAGAGTATCCGGAGACTCGTAGACTCTCTGGTGTAGGCATAGCATTGAGTTGAGCAGAAAGTGTGCTCCTCGACTGGATTCCAGTTAACAGCCTTTATGTGCCGCTCGACTAAGTGAATGTGTAGGGACTGCAAACGATCGTGAACCAAACGAAGCCTATTCGTAATCCTCGGCTACTCACCCACTGACTGTAGCTCGCATGATGTAAGTGATGAGTTCTATGGGAAGCTGTGGATTTCGATACAGAATGTAGGATGTAGTCATAATGATAGGTGGCTTTAACGCTCAACTACGGAAGCTGAGATAATTGAAAATACATCCTGGAGGTATTTCCTGAATCCCATGCCAACGAACCGATAACATTCATCGTCTGTTGCCATTTCGTCCCGACAATCACTTGTTTCTGGCCAGCATTAAATTCAAACATAAAGAGAGGAACTGTCTCACATGGAGTTGATCGACATCAAACTAACGATGGACAGATATCGGCTTAAGTCATCGTTGCACAAGATCGGTGGACGACTCTCGGTAGCGTGATATTAACTGTGGTAAAGAAACAGCGGTGACGCAAGTTGGTAAACTACACCCGAAGGTGGGTAAACGTCAATGGATTTCTGTAAGGTTATCAAGACTGACTGACATGAGATGACTGATTCAGACTGGAGCTCACCACCATAAAAAACGAAATCACCAGAAACGTAAATTCACCACGACAGTTTGCGTCAATCGAGTACAGTAGTGGGAGCGGAATAAGACAGATGGAGGAATCAGACTAAGACCAGGAAACAATTTCGGCCTATTAAAGAAGCCGACAAGAAGAAAACGATGGTTAGACGGACAAAAAGGAAAACCATCCCACGATCATAACCTTCCACAACAGCCAGCCAGAATGCGCAAAACATACACACAGCTCAAGGATGCATGCGAAATACGTGTCCCTCTTTCAACTCTCCTTGAGGTTAAGAAGGCTATATCGAACCTCAAACTACACAAAGCAGCGGGACGTAACAGTTTGCCAACCGACGTTCTCAACGATGAACGTAGGAAATTACCAATTAAAGTGACAGAATTACTACATACTGTATGGAAATCACAGGTAGTGCTATCACACCAGTCTATTTAACTGATCATCCAAGTCTATAAGAAGGGAGAGAAGTCTTCCTGTGACAAGCGTAGGGGAATTAGTTTGACCAACATCATGTCCATGATCCTAGGGCCCATAGTTATCCGATGCGATGCCCATCTGGACCTTCACAACAACAAAATCAATTAAACCAGCCATGTTTCACACCTCGACGGGAGTGCATCGATCATATTTTCACCCTCCTACAGGTTATGGAACACAGGCATACCTACCGGTCGCCGACAAGTGCCACATATGTTGACATGAAATCCGCATTTAACTCAGTCGGTCGTGAGACGTTGTGGCAGTGTGAATGTGAAGGGAGTATCGATCAAGTTTGTAATACCTAACGAAGCTCTCTACTTGAAGTTGCGCAACTATGTACTGGCTCATGGAGAGTTTTCATGTGAATTGACGACAACTAGTGGTGTCCACCAGGGATGCCCACTATCGCTGCCCTTGTTTAACTTCGTCATAGACGCACCAATTGATATATCCTTACATACACCTGACTTCACAGGGATTGACCTACGCTCTGCAGGCCATCTGGTCGATTTCGAGTGAATTCAGATGATATTGTCCTGCTAGGTGAAGACGCTGACAAAATGTAGGGTCTTCTGGATGCGTTGATCAGAAATCTGAGTATGTTTGACAGACATGCGTTTCACCGACACCTGTCAAATGTAAGATGATGCTCCACGACTGGTCTGCAACCGCTCCTAGTTTAATGATGGAGAGGAAGTGAAGTGGTGTAATGTGTTGACTGACCACTTCACTTAATTGGGGAGTCGCACCAACCCAAATGGACTGGTTGCTGAAGAAATCTCAGGTCGGGTACAGAAGGCCCATTCAGCACTCTTGCCAACTTGTGTCACCTGTGAAGTCGACTGACAAGATATCCGATTATCTATCAAAGAATGAGTACACTGGACTGCAATCCCTTCTGTCCTGTTATACGACTGAGATATGAAGCAGTTACAGGGTTTTGATCATTGGTGTTTTCGTAGCATTGCTCGCCTTTGGTGGAATCGCCGTTTGAGCTATGTAGAGGTTAGGCCAATGGTACTAGGCAAGACGAGAAAGTCGATTGATGACGTTGTGAACCTTAATCGACTGAGACGGTTTGGACATGTACAGCGTGTAGTAAGCCACCACCCAACTACCTTGACGTGTCATGCTAGTGGTAGTTTGATTAGGTTGGGAGAGCGTTACTGGTGGCCATACCGAGGAGTGGTACCAGTCAACGAAGTCTCTTACTTTTTTTAATAAACGTATAAAAAGGCGGACACTGCAGAATTTAATTCCAAATGAGACTTGCTGAATTGATATATAACACACAGTGATACAGTATTATTTACTTCATGACATTTCAAGCATAAACTATCACTGCTCAATCACATCGATGTAATCACACCACATTCAACATCTCATTTTTATAGTTGTCACCTCATGTGATTTCTTTCTATTTGTAGTAAAATTTTACATATCTCTGGTGATAGGTGTTGCGTCATCCCGTTCACATGTGTTGCCTGTTGATTCATTCGATGAACAAAGATTCAGTAATCTCTCTCTCTCTCTCTCTCCCCACCTAATCATAGTCCACTTAAGTACAGTGGCCGTATCCCACTCACTCTATTGTGTGCTTACATGTTAATCCATGCATTGCAGTAACCCAGTTTTCTCCACATCATCCATCTTATTCGGGTCTGTCATTCTATATTCACCTAAATCTCCATGTTCCGCTAGCCTAACTCACCCCAACTAGCCACTTTCACCTATGTACTTCACTCCACTCACAATCAGTGTATGGAATGAATTGTGTACAGTAGACTATTTCTATCGGATACTTAAGCCAGTCGATAAAACTGATCTCTGAGTGAGTTTGTAGGTTGAAATTCAATTACAATCCCAGCTTTGTGGTTCGGAGTCCTATGTAAAGTTTATCATATGTCTTCCTAATACGGTAACACAATTCACGCTGTTGTCGTCATTATTCATACTCGTGTGACTCTTAGGATTTCGTTTCATATGAGTTCCTACGAATTTCTTCATCAACTGTCAAGGACAATTATCAATTGTTAACGCGTCTTTTATGTACTTCAGTTCCTTTTTAGGTCCTTGTACTGATTAGTCAGTGAGTCAGTGCACTAGCCGTATCATTTACACATTCCACTAAACCTACCTACCTTAACCGACATTGCATGAGATGACTTGAAGTCAAGATACCTGTAAGAATGTGTTGGTTTCTTGTAGATAGTAGTATCCAAACCACCTTCTGTTCTTCCTTTTATCCTCTCCTCTAATCCAACATAGGTAATTCGCCTTGTGCACTTTCTACTTCGATTGTGCCGAACACTCAGTTGATATGTATGTGAGGAAATTGTCCACATGTTCCGATTTCAACACAGTAAATATGTCATCCACATATCACCACCATTTCTTAGGTGCACGATTAAACTTTCACAAAGACATGTATTCCCAAGTATTCGTAAATATATCTGCTACGATTGGGGATATTGATGATCCCATTGTTACTCCTTCTGTTTGTCTGTGTATTTTGTCGTGAAACTTGAAAACTGTGGATGTCGAGCACAACTGTGTACATTTAATATGATCTCACCATCCAATATCTTAGTTCTGTGAGCAAGTTCCGAGTCAATATTTAGTTGATTTCTGAATGCCTTTAGTGACAGATTGATTAATATTTTAGTATAAAAACTTGTTACATTAAAACTAACTGTTTTTATCCTCTTCTATATGCAGTTCATCAAGCCGACTGATAGCTTCTACCTT